GAAATGTTAGGGGGTCGTCTTATACGCCCAGTCGTCTTATACGCCGGCAAATACGGTACCTTGGTTGCGGGCACATCCCCAATGGGAGGTGTGCAGGAGGCAGCTGATCGATGTTTCTCTCTCATCGATGTTTCTGGCTCTCTATCCTTCTCCCTTCCTCTCTGTAAAAAATCAGTGAAATATATTTAAAAAAATAAAATTTAAAGCCCTAGCTTGTATTCTTTTATTTTTCCATTATATTGTAGCTCTTTATTCCCTAATTTGAATTCTCATCCTCTGTTGTTGTTGAATTGTGAAGGTTTTTCTTTTTAGGGTAGTATGAATACTAGTTTTTTGTTTCGAAATATTTAACCTTTTGTGAATGTTTTCCAAGGATCTACAAAGAGTGCACCAGGCCCCTCCCCCTTTTTTTTTTATGGTATTGAGGATGCATTCAGTTTCATTTGGGGAATGTAAATTATGCATTCGGTAAGAGCTATTGAAATTAATATAGAAATACTGTTTCTGACTCTTTCAGGTGGATGGTGGAGCTGAGTGCCTTGTAGAAATCCGTAGTATAGTCTCAGAGTCAGATGTTTCATCATTTGAAATCCAACATAGTGGATTTGTGAAGCAGCTGTTGCTATATTTGACATCTAAAAGTGAAAAGGATGCTGTGACCAGAGAGATCAGATTAAAGAGATTTCTTCATGTGTTTTTTTCTTCCCCAGTAAGTTATTTAATAATATTTGCATGAATCTTATTGTAAGAATCACTGTTCACTTATGTATCTTTTCATCCCAGTAGTAATTTCCAGTAGGTTTTCTGCAGGCCAACCCATTAATTGTAGTCTCTCCTCTGTGAATGCATTTTATTCTCAATATTTGTTTCCAAACTTATTGGAGTTTGAGATAGGTGATAGAGAGATAGATAGATAGATAGATAGATGATAGATAGATAGATACAGTAGACATAGTGTAGCTATAACCATAAGGTAGACATATATATATTTCCACTTTGTATGTAAAACATAGCAAAGGCTTCTTGACTTAGGATGGGGTCACATTCCAATTAACCCATTGTAAGTTGCAAATATTTTAAGTCAAAAATTTATTTAATACATCATAGTTTCACCCCTGCCGAACATCATACTTCAGCATAGCCTACCTTAACCATGCTTAGAACAAAGTACGGCTTCTACTGAATTCTTGTCACTCTCACACCATTGTAAAGTTGAAAAATTGTGAGTCAAACCATCTTAGGTTGGGGACCATCTGTATTAACACATTGTATGCGGGAAACATATTTATATGTTTTACTTAACCTTTTACGTTGACTGGTAGTAGAGCGCAGGACGCGTATTAATACGTTTTTTATAGACTAGCGGTAGAATGCGGGTAACATATAAATACATAAACTAAAGTTATCGTAATTTTACTGAACGTTGCCATTTGCGTAAAAAAATTAGCAAAAATGGCCCGCGCCACCTGTTAGCACGCGATAAAAACTACCCGCAAACAATGTAAAAAATTCCATTCAAAAGTGCTTAGTCATATTTACAATGTGGATTATAAGGCCAGAATTCAGAGTAGCTCTCCTTTCTTTACCCTCAATAGCTGAGAGCTAGAGAATAACTGTTCTTGGAAACTTGATTTTACACTACTGGTTTACAACTGCTTAAGAAAAGGCATCTTTAGGGAAGTTCTCTGGCTCATCTGTGTAGTAGGGCCAAGGATAGCTCTCCTGTGTGTGAGTGAAACTCCTTACCATGCCTTTCTAGTTTGTGGTGATTTGAGCATTACTTATATTACTTTAACTTGTTATTTATTAGAGAGTCATTAGATGTGTAGCAATATTGGATGTACTTTTCTCCCACATTTAAGATTTTATACAGATGTCATCTCTTCACTGAAATTCCTTGGTGCTTTCTGGGTTTTAAGAGTTCTACAATATAGAACCATATATTACTTGATGTCCCCAGTAGATTCTAAATATCACTCCAGATACAGTAAATATTTCTGTGGCAAAGCATGAATATTTCTACTAAAAAATATAGTCTCATGTCTGTCTGAGTCAGATTTTGCCACCAAATGAAACAATAAAAGAGAATAGATGAATGGTTTCCTTTTGTAAAACTGCCTGTTAAAAGTTTCTTGTTTAGGAGTGTTCCCTGTTCAAGAGGCCTTGTTTAACCTATTGGTTTATTTATATCTTTAGCTTCCTGGAGAAGAGCCCATTGGAAGAGTAGAACCAGTCGGTAATGCACCTTTGTTGGCATTAGTTCACAAGATGAACAACTGCCTCAGCCAGATGGAACAGTTTCCAGTCAAAGTGCATGACTTCCCCAGTGGGAATGGGACAGGAGGCAGGTAAGGATCATTGCCTGAGTGTGCCCTTTTCCTTTGACTGCGCTTAATTAATCTTGTTGAGGTAAGTGGCAAGAGGTCTGGTAACATCTTCATCTGCCTAAATAGCATTTAGCTATTATTACTGAAGAAATTGAATAGTCTAAAAAGTAAATGAAATACTGTTTATCTTTAAAATCACACTGTTTCTTAAACATAATGGTTTAAAAATATATAATCCAGTCACTATTGGCAACTTGCAATCTGTTTTCCATAAATTGACATACTTTATAATGCTTCAAGAATTTTGTGGATCTGGAAAATAAAACATTTACGTTTCTGTGCAGTAATGTGATTTTATATGTAATGTGAGTGCTTATAACTTTGTATTGTGATGGGTTTTAACAAGTGTTTATTTTGAAGTTTTGCTGTTTTAAATAAAACTTGTTTTTTCAATAATATAGTAGTTTTATAGGATTCATGAGATACTGTAGAAAGAATTATGTAGGAGTTAATTGTTTTGTTTTATATGAAGTTATAAGCTTCCTAGAATATTATAACTAGAAGCCTGGTAAATACGAAGTTAGTTTTTTTAATTCTTAAAATACACAATCTGCTGTGTTTATAAAACATTCAGATTTTTGATTGAATTAAAACTGCATCCTGAGTAGATAAAGTGATCAATGTGGACTAGGTTGTTGTTTTTTACTTTGAAATTTAATGTAGAGTGTGATATTTAGGTTTTTATTTTATTTATTTATTTTTTATCGATTTCAGAGAGCAAGGGGGAGGTACAGAAATAGAAACAACAATAATGAGAGAGAATCATTGATTGGCTGCCTCTTGTATGACCCCCCACTGGGGATCGAGCCCACAACCCAGGCACTTGCCCATGACCAGAATCAAACCTGGGACCCTTCAGTCCGCAGGCTGACGCTCCATCCACCAAGCCAGACCAGCTAGGGCTGATACTCAGTTTTGATCATTATGCCATTCTGGAGTATTTTGTAAAATGAGGGGATGTTTTCCACTATGCTGAGAAAACCATGAAGCTTTTCATTTTTATCCAAATTTATATACTATTAAATAAGTATGTACATATTTATCAATATACTGGAATATTCTTTCTCATAACTCCTATTTACATGCTTTATGGAACCTCGTAGATGACCATATTTTAAGCTTATCTGTTATCTTACTCCTGCCAGCCCTTTTCTGAAATGAGCAGTTAAATAGCCTTACCAGATTTAGACTGGTGTAGCTATTGAATTACTTCTTTCAAAAGACTATAGCAAAGTTTGTACACCTGAAACTAATATAAGTTTGTGTGCCAACAGTAAAGTTTTAAAAATGATTTTATAGCAGACATCATTTTATTTGTCATTTTATAATAAATGTCTTGAATTGCTGGTGTTTACTTTTGTGCCTTAAGAAAATGCAGAGTTTGTATTATCTTGCTTTTATTTGAATTAATTTTGTTGATTTTGAAAATAATAGAATAACTTTTTTTCACAAATTATCTTGAGCTTTTCTCTTAACAGAGGATCACAGGCTTTAAAATTTTTCAACACACACCAGTTAAAATGCCAGTTACAGAGACATCCAGACTGTGCAAATGTGAAGCAGTGGAAGGGTGGACCTGTCAAGATCGACCCCCTGGCTTTGGTACAAGCGATTGAGAGATACCTTGTAGTTAGAGGTACTCTTCATAATGTATATTGTGTGTATGTACTTTTGGGATAAAATTAAGGAGTTAAAATTATTTCTCTTCTTATTGCTGTTTCTATTAAAACCTAGCATCAAGAACTTGTGTTCTCGTCATTTATTTTATGTGTAGTATATAGAAATGTGTTCAACGTAGTAGAGGTTGACTGCTTACTTGAGTGATGAGTTAATTTTTCTTGTTGGAATATAGTAGAAATGACATTTTGTATTTGACACTTTTCTTAGATCTTTCTGCTTTGCAGATCAAAGTGTTTTTCTAAGACTATATTAGCTTAAACATAAATAGGCTTTTCTTTGTCGTGTAAAATTTGCTAGGAGTTGAACAACCTTCTTGGGTTTTTAGGTTATGGAAGAGTAAGAGAAGACGATGAAGACAGTGATGATGACGGCTCTGATGAGGAAATAGATGAATCTCTGGTAAGGTACTATTCCCACCATGTTGTCATGCATAATGTTCAGGGCCTATAGGTTAAATAGATTCTGTTTTGCTTCATTCAGGCTGCTCAGTTCTTAAATTCAGGAAATGTAAGACACAGGCTACAATTTTACATTGGAGAACATTTGCTACCGTATAACATGACTGTGTATCAGGCAGTACGGCAATTCAGTATACAGGCTGAAGATGAAAGGGAATCTACTGATGATGAGAGCAATCCTCTAGGAAGAGCTGGTATTTGGACGAAGACTCATACAATATGGTAAATCTCAAAATGATTTTGTTTGTTTTCACCAACTTTGACACTATTCATGTCTTTTGGAATTGGTTCTGATGGCTGGCTTGCATAAGGAGAGGGGACCCTAAATCCTACATTTCATCATTAAAAGCCACTTCAAATATCTTGTGTGTGAGCACCTGTGGGTGCATGAGTGTGTATATTTATCATCCTCATTAAGTCAACTAGATAGAAAATATATTCTTGGATATAATTATAGTTTATATATCTACTTTTCTAGATTTATTTCCAGTCTTTAAGTAAGACAAACATTTTTGTAAGATGTTCCTTTAGCTGTTAAAAATCGGGCATCTCTGAATCTTGAGAAACATTTGGATGCAACTTTGTCTTGTGAATGTCTGCTACTTCCATTTAAAGAGAGCTGTTCTCAGAACTCCTAAGCTGGTATTCTCTTCTAGGAAGCAGTCCCACTGGTAATTTTCTGAATCTGTAAGTAGGGAGAGAGGATAGATCTCACAGAGTTCTCTGGTAACTCTAGTATCTGTGGCTTGCACTTTTGGCCTTGTAAAATAATTTGCAGTTTTAAAATCTGCTTTTGGTTTAACTGTACCACTGTCACTTTAGGTACAAACCTGTGAGAGAGGATGAAGAAAGTAATAAAGATTGTGTTGGTGGTAAAAGAGGAAGAGCCCAAACAGCTCCAACAAAAACTTCCCCTAGAAATGCAAAAAAGCACGATGAGTTATGGCATGGTAAGTTGTAATATGAAAGGAAAACTGCCGTGGGTCAGTGTCTTCCTGTCTTCATGGTTTTAAAGGAGTGATTTATTTGTATCTAGTAGTAGTAAAATCTTTGAGTATAACTTATAAAAAAATGAAGTTACTACCAACATTTGACGGTTTTTAATTGAACCCTTGACTTTAAAGTCTAGAGCATGAAAACGTAAATATCTGCAAAATTAAATTTGGAAAGAAAATTGGGAAAAACTCAAAATTCTTTCCATGAAGAACTCATGTTTGCATGAAGGCTAGACAAATTCAGTAACAGAACACATTCTCTAAAGAAGAGACTGATCATTGGCAGATTGGCCCTTAATTTTTATTGGCATTCATTATGATAGTATAATCCAGTAATGTAGAAGGAATAAAAAATTTTGCCAGTAGAGTGTAATAGCATCTCCTAAAGGACTTCTTTTTCTTTACAGCATTTTCTTCTCGTTTAATTTTACTGGTATCCTTCCCCTCTCTTTTATATGTTAGTAATGCTTTAGCATTTGTCCACATTCTCATTCCATGGGGACTGCCTTTATTAGGGATTTCCAAACACTGGTGTCAGTTGATGAAATTTTCCTGGTTTACATAAATAAGGGCATTGTAGGAATTTTTTTTTTCCATAAAGCCAGGTTTATTCTTTTTAAAGGGGTCTTTGTTTTGAAATGTTTGTTTTTTTGTTTTTGGTGCTAAAATTCGCCTTTTTTATGCAATGATAGTGTTGTGATTTTTAATTCTTTTGCTCAGTTAAAGCAAATGGCAACAGTGTCAATCCCTCATTTATTTTTATTTTCATGCTACTTGGTGAGATATAAGAACAGAGGAATCACAACTCCTACTTGGAATCTGTCACAGTCTACCCTGTCATAAGCCTTGGATTAAATAACCAAATCTGAAATATACAGGCAGTTTCTATAATTGAATTTAAATTCAAACATGTTGTCTTTACTCCTTTCTGGCTGTTTTATTGTTAGTTATTATTTCTGGTATAAAGAAATGCAAACAAGTTAGTTTTTCTCATTTATGATGTTTATTTGGGTATGGGAAGGAAAGTATAAATTTCATAAACCTGGATGAATTATGTATAAGGTTTAAAAAAAAAAGTTCAAGTTATCAATTCTTTACCAGTAAGATCCAATCATTAAATCTTAACAATTTACAAGTACTGTTTTAGGCATGATAAGATGACACTGGCTCCATTAGCTTGGCCTTTCTAACTATAATACTTTACTTTGATCTTTTGCCCTCTAGATGGAGTGTGCCCATCAGTATCAAATCCTTTAGAAGTTTACCTCATACCTACACCACCTGAAAATATAACTTTTGAAGATCCATCATTAGATGTGATTCTTCTTTTAAGAGTTTTACATGCCATTAGTCGATACTGGTATTACTTGTATGATGTGAGTATTATTGAAGTTTTCTGTGATGTGTTATTCATTACATGTCATCTCATAGTTTTTGTGTAGTGATTTATGAATTTCCTGTTGTACTAGAAACAGAAACAGTGACTCAGCTGAATGCAGAGATCCTGGCCCAGTGAAGTACAATGTATTCATCAGTGGGAACTTCTCCCCTTTTGTTTCCTGGCCTTGTTTTTAGATTTGTTCTCTTGGCAGACTTGTAAATTTATTAAATTAAACTACAGCATGAAATTGAACATACTTTTATTATAGTTAAAATTCTTTATGTACATTTAACCCAAAGTTCATTTATCTAAGTTAAGATGTATGTTAAGTAAAAAGTTGGGTGAAAGTTGAATGCGGCCTTTGATATTTATATAATGTAGGGAAGAATGAAGGAGTTGGCCTTGCATAAAGTATTAGCTCCCACATCAGTGATTGAGCCAGTACTCATGGCATGTGGGGGTTAAGGTGTTTCAGCTATGCATTATAGAAATTCTCATTTGTGTTAGGACACAACAATGAGAAGCTGTATATTGTATTTTGGAAACAAGTGAAATCTGGGCACTTTGTATACATATTTGGGGATAAAAGAAGAGATAGTGAATATAGTCCTGTTTTACTACATATTGACCTTTTTCTTAAACATTTTGCAGAATGCATTGTGCAAGGAGATTATTCCAACTGGTGAATTTAATAACAGTAAGTTGACAGCAAAAGCAAACAGGCAGCTTCAAGATCCTTTAGTAATCATGACAGGAAACATCCCAACATGGCTTACTGAACTAGGAAAAACCTGGTAAGACTACCACTTCTATAATGGTGACCTTGGGAGTGTTATCATTATATTGGTCTTTATATTTTGTAACAGAAACAGTGTTTAGTGAACCTGTTTAATGTGTTTAATAACATTGTCATATTTGATCACAGCTTGCTTACAAGTGTAGCTTTAGCATCCAAACAGACTGGGCAAGCTGGAACTAGTACTAGATCTACTTGATTGTATATGTCTGCCTATATGGAATAGAAAAGTACACAAGGATATTTGACTGAGGAGATTCAAATCCTATGCCACGATAAAATCAGATTCCAAAAGCGGAATTGAGTCATTCTCTGATCCTACTTGGGTCCACACCTATATTCTTAGAAACTGTAGAACTGCATTGTCAGTATAATAGCCACTAACCACATGTGGGTATTTACATCTAGATTAAAGTTAAACAAAATTAGAAATTTATGTTTTTAGTCACACTAGCCACATGCTCACATATCTACCTGTATTAGGCAGATACAAATACTAAACATTCATCCTGTCATCACAGGAAGTGCTCTGGTAGCTCTGTCAAAATCATACACCAGGAGGCATGTAGAATCTCTTTTACTGTAGCTGCCTTTTGCATCTTTTAGTGACTTAGAAATGCTAAAGCTAAGAGGAAAATCATGAACTGGTAAAGCCGCCAGTATTTGTGTATATATGGAATGGGGAAGGTCACTAACCTGGTGAAGTGTTGATCAGATTTTAAAATTTAGCTTTCACTAGTCATGTTATACTTCCTAAAGGTCTTTGGGTATATTATAGACAATCTTGAATAGACTTGATTTCAATTTCAAACATAAGAATTTTAATGATTGAATTTCAGATTTCACAATGAAAGGCTACTTAATGTATTATTATGTGATTACTTAACAAATTTCATATAAGAATTAAGGAAATTCTTCAAAATTAGTTTACTTAGACCATTTTTATTGGTCATATTTACAATTATTCTGGATCATATTAAAACTTGTTTCTAATACAGGGTTTTTTATGGTTTCTGATTCTAATTCAGATAATAAAGTTATATCACATCTTTTTACAGCCCATTTTTCTTCCCTTTTGATACCCGGCAAATGCTTTTTTATGTAACTGCATTTGACCGGGACCGAGCAATGCAAAGATTACTTGATACCAACCCAGAAATCAACCAGTCTGATTCTCAAGATAGCAGAGTTGCACCTAGATTGGATAGAAAAAAAGTAAGTTTCTTCACCAAATTTTTAAAGATAAATCAAACTGAGCTTTTCAAAATAATGGGAAAACTAGAAATGTGGTACATCTAATTTTGCCTATTGGTTTAGAGGGCTGCCTTAGTCACAGTCCTCTCTTTGCTTATCTTTTGTAATCATCTTTTAGCCATGTTTTCCTGTTAGTCTCTTGGAACTGTGCTATCTGTGATTCTTTTTCAATCTCCAGTTAGAGTTCTTTTTCTCAGTTTCTGAAATAATTTTTATAGTTCTTTTATCTTTTAGTCTTCATAACTCTTGTGCCAAGAAAAAATCTTGTCCTTTCTTACTGAGGCTTTCTTCCTTTCTAAATTAGGAACTCAAATTAGCCCACCTTTTATAATTGACTAGAGGCCCGGTGCATGGATTTGTGAACCCATGGGGTCCCTTGGCCTGGCCTATGGGGATTGGGCCAAAACTGCCTCTCCATCCCCTGAAGGGTCCTGGATTGCGAGAGGGCACAGGCCAGGCTGAGGGACTCCACTGGTGTACGATCAGTCGGGGTCGAGGAGGGACCGCGGGAGGACTCCAGGGCATGTCCATCCCATCTCACCCAGTCCCAATCGGCCAGACTCTAGGCACGTCGGCCCCCAGCGGCAAGCTAACCTACCGGTTGGAGTGTCTGCCCCCTGGTGGCCAGTGCATGTCATAGCGAGCGGTTGAGTGGTGTTAGCATATCATTAGCATATTACGCTTTGGTTGAACGGCCAGTCAACCAGACACTTAGCATATTAGGCTTTTATTTTTATAATTGATCCCTATGCAGTAGGTAGAATTAATCAGCTCTACTTCATTCCCTTAGCAAATTACTCCAATTAGAAGAAACTGAAACAAAATCCTTGATACATTTTATGTGCATAGACCAGTTAGCCCCCTGTGTTGTTGACTTCATCCTTCTGTGCTTCTAATCTGGCTCCACATTCATAGCCCTAAAACACACAGCTCTAAGCCATTTGCATCTGAGACCCAGTCCTACACTTATGCCACTACACTGCCTTTTACTTAAGACTTCTCTCCTGCCTCTTTCTTGCTGAGGATTCTTATGTAAGTCTGTCTTCTCAAAACCTTTATCTCCAAAAGTCTCATAAGAGCCATTAGTAATGACAGAAGAAGAGGAGTGGAAGCAATGAGAAGCAAAGCAAAACCAAAAACATTATACTTTAAAAGAAAAAAACAACACTCGTTACTCCTATCTTGATAGGTGTCATTAGGATTCCATAAAAATTGTTCTGGTAGACTTTGGAGATCTGCCAAAACCTTCTTCATCCTCATGAATCTCATTAGTAGATGTTTGCAGTAGAGTTTGTCGGATCTCTGCAGGTCAGGGCCAGTAGTAGGTTTCCAGCTCACCTATCACCTCCATTCCTATTTCTTCATCATCTGCCTATCTATAAGTGCACCCAGGGATATGTTAAGTTACTGCAGCCCTGAATTGCTTTGATGTTTGGCAGTGTTTTAGAGATCCTTCTCCAACTTGAATTTTCTGAACTTGCCATGGGCACAAGATAAATATTACACTTACATCTAACTTTTCTTCATGTATGTATGCCAGGAATGCTGTCGATGTTTATAGCAGTGCAGCTACTTCTTAACCTTTTCTGAGGTGTGCTTTGTAAAAAAAATACTTTTTAGCAGTTTAATTTTTTTGCACTTCAAGAAATAGCACCTGTTTATTAAAGTGTAATGTGTACTTATTTTCCTCACTTTTGTACTTTATTTTGTAGCGTACTGTGAACAGAGAAGAGCTGCTGAAGCAAGCCGAGTCTGTGATGCAGGATCTTGGCAGCTCACGGGCCATGTTAGAAATTCAGTATGAAAATGAGGTGAGTTTTTGAGTCGGGACAGTTTTGGGCATGATTTGTGTCCTTGATAAGATTGTCGTTAGAGTTTCTTGGTCCTGTGAAATTCTAAAAGATAATTGGGAATTACCTGACATCTGGAAATTTTTTAAAAAAACAGGTTTTCTAAGATATTATTTGTGTATAATAAATGTACATTTTTAGGATGTACAATTGTAAGAGTTGACAAGTATACAGTCTGTAATCACTACCACATCATGATCAAGAAAAAAATCCAACCACCATCACAAAATATTTTCTTGGACCACTTTACAGTCAGTGCCTGCTCTTTATCCCCTGTCCCTGCCCCTGTAGCTTTGTCCTTTTTTACAGTTATAATAAATGGAATTATACAGCATGTAACCATTTTTGTTACTCTTCTCTCACTTAGTATAATGCTTTTGAGATTCATCCATGCTATTGTTTCCTTTTATTGCTGAGTAATAGTAATAGACTATTTATAGTATGTTTCATCACCAGTTGATGTACATTTGAATGTTTCATGCCATTTAATATTTTAAGTTATCTGTTTTACCTATGGAAATAACAGTATTTGGATAAAGGAAATAGACTGATTTGATCTGTGATTTCTACTTAGCATAGGGGTAGTATGCTAAAGGGAGAAAGACCTGACTTTAAAGCACCATCTTATGGGTATCAGGTATTACTGCAGTTTTATTCATTTCTCTCTTTGCTTCTCTCTCCTTTTTCCCCCTCCTTTCTTTCCTCCAAGACCCAGTGGAGAACAAAATGTACAAAGTCCCTACCGTCATGGGACTTTTAGTTTGGGGAGGTCAATACACACACACACTCATACACATGGCTATGAGATGAATAAAAGGAAAGGAAAATAGGAAGATGGAGCATGATGGGGAGGGGCCAGGGTGTTCTAAGGTGACATTTGAGGAGAAGAATATCTCTAGCAAAAGAACAGACATGCAAAAGCCCTGAGGCAACATTCCTTCCTGGTGGCAGGTGACTGTGGCTGGAGGGTGGGAGGAGGGATCATAGGACACATGGGCAGTTTTTTTAACCTGAGCTTTTGCTGTGAGTGAGATAGGAAGCCTCAGAGGGTGTGGAAGAATGATACAAAACTATGTTTTGTAAGGCTCTCTCTTAGCACTTTGAGTATAGGCTGTGAGATGCCAAGAATGCTGGTGCAGAGACCAGATGAGAAATTGGTGGTAACAGTTTATATGTTTTGAAGGTGGGGCAGGCTTAGTGTTTAATGATTGGTTGCAATGTGGAGAGTAAGACTGAGAAGAGCCACAGATGGCTCCCAGATTTGGGTTGGAGTGTGGGCTGAATGCTGATACCTTTCACTGCTGTGGAAAACTAACAAAGGGATGGGGGGATTAGGAACATGTCACCAGGTCCTAACAGATCACTATTTGGAAAGTTGAGTTATACCTTTGGTGGACTGCACCTAATCTTTTAAACTAGTTTGGATACTTTTGAAAAGTAACCGTGATAATCCTGTGTAATAAAAGCCTAACATGCAAATTGACCGAACGTTTGAACAACTAGTCGCTATGATGTGCACTGACCACTAGGGACAAATGCTCAACACAGGAACTGCCCCCAGCCCGCAGGCCCCAACCAGCAGTGATGGGTGGCGAGCCTGCAGCGCCAGGCCAGCCAAGGCGGATGCCAGTGGGGGCCCCCGATCGCCCCACCAGTCACCCCACAGATCAGCCCTGATCACAGGCCAGGCCTAGGGACCCTACCCATGCATGAATTTCTTTTACTTTTTTTTAATTTTGTTTTATTGCTTCAAGTATTACAAGGAGTATTACCTATGTCTCCTTTCCCCCCCTCCCCCCTTGGCATCCCCCCAGCCTCCCCTTCCCTCCCCTACCCCCCAGTGTCTCATTGTCCATTGGTTATGCTTATACCCATGCATGAATTTCATGCACCAGGCCTCTAGTGGTAAGATAGTGCCCATTAGTTGCAAATACCATGCACATGAAATGCAGCCTTCTTGACAGGACAGTGGTTAGATTTAGCCTATAGACTTTGGTATTAACTTGTCCTTAGCTGCATATTTAGCTTTATTGTCTGAGCTGGTAGGACCTTGATAGAACATGAAGGAATATCTAGGCTGAACATTGCCCCAGGCTCATGTATCTCATGGAGGAGGCATGTTCATTCACAGCTGGCTGTACAGTTATCTCCGGGGTTTGTTTCAAGATACCAGTGTCCAGGATCAAAACGAGACCCACCTACTAAATCAGAGTCTTCAGGATGCACCTACCCCCCATGTGCATGTTAAACAGCACTCAGGAGATCCCAGTGCACCATGGGCTTGAGAAGCACTGGTGTACTTTCTGAGGCTAAGTTAGCCCGGTGTGTGCTGGTATGGATTCAGACCTCCCCTTATTTGTGTTTATTTAACAAACTGCTGTTAAAGGCTAGAGTGTGCTCCGGCACTGTAGAGGATACAGAGGTGAATTAACCATTTGTACGCCATAAGCGTCTATAGACGCAAGCAGCAGACCTTTTTTAACACATTAAGCGCCTAGCCTGTTTTGTCTTCCGGATGGAAAGTATAGTGTCAGTCACCGGTGACTGACAGGGTACTTAACATGTTAATTAAACTCAAAATATCATGGTAGTTAACTGGTTAAAGTTTCCCTCGGGTGCGATATACAGGCATATAATGAAATGCTGACAGTGAAATATGGTAAGTACTTAGTAGCTGAAATGTAAATCCTAAGAAAAGAAGCAAAGTAACTGGGCATATAAGGAGGCTTTTCGTAAGGAGATGACATTTGAGCTGGTTTCAGAGTTGCCATTCACCAAAGAGAGAATGAGAGACCGCCATATGCAGACCATGCCTTAGTCCAGTGGCTCTCAACCTTCTGGCCCTTTAAATACAGTTCCTCATGTTGTGACCCAACCATAAAATTATTTTCGTTGCTACTTCATAACTGTGATGTTGCTACTGTTGTGAATTGTAATGTAAAGAACTGATATGCAGGATGGTCTTAGGTGACCCCTGTGAAAGGGTCGTTCGACCACCAAAGAGGTTGCGACCCACAGATTGAGAACTGCCTTAGTCCCTGAGGGTAAGGTATATAGCTACTTTTCTCAGGATACAAGCTCAGACCATTTAGTTTCTTGGAGCTTGTTTCAGGATACCAATGCCCAGGCTTGAAATGACCCACCTACTAAATTAGAGTCATCCGGGCATGCTTACCCCCCATGTGTGCATGTTAAACAGCTTTCAGAAGATCCCAGTGCACCATGGGCTTGAGAAGCACTGATGTACTCTCTGAGGCTAAGTTTGGGCCATAGGGAGTAGGAAATTAGAAAGGGATGCTAGTTTTTATTCTAGAACAGTGGTTCTCAACCTTGGCTGCACATCAGAATCACCTGGGAATCTTTTTAAAATCCTGATTTTTGGGCCTCATCCTCCAGAAATTCTGTTAATTTGTTATGGGGTGGGGCCACAACGTTAGTAACAAAGAAACAGAATTTCCGGAGGAGGAGGCCCAGAAATCAAGATTTTAAAAAAGATTCCCAGGTGATTCTAATGTGCAGCCAAGGTTGAGAACCACTGTTCTAGATGATCAAGACTGAAGAAATACAGTCAGGACTGCTGGAGAAATAATCCCCACTGCGTCCTGATAGAGTTCCTGTTAGTATCCACATTGCCAAGAGGTTTGCAGGTTAAAAAGGCAGTGCAAATTCTAAAATTTGAAATTGTTCTACTTTTATTCTTCTGTAGGTTGGTACAGGTCTTGGGCCTACACTGGAGTTTTATGCACTTGTATCTCAGGAACTACAGAGAGCTGACTTGGGTCTTTGGAGAGGTGAAGAAGTTACTCTCAGCAATCCAAAAGGTAATATTAATCTGAGTTAGTCAGTCAATTTGTGTTATTCAGATCAGGTAAAGGGCCCTTACAATTCATAAAATATATTTAATTTGTAGCAAAGGACCATTCTCTCTGACCTTAATTTATTCTAGCCTTTTTCTTATTTATCAATTAAGGAAGGCCCTTCCAGCTCTAGAGGACTTAATTACATGATCTTTCTGATTTTGAGAATATTGCATTTCTTAAATGTTCTGAGTTACCAGTTTTTGTTTTGTCTTGGTTTGGGAGAGAGCATGTAAAGTTTGGTCACTTGTTCATTTACAGGAAGCCAAGAAGGGACCAAGTATATTCAAAACCTCCAGGGCCTGTTTGCGCTTCCCTTTGGTAGGACAGCAAAGCCAGCTCATATTGCAAAGGTTAAGATGAAGTTTCGCTTCTTAGGAAAATTAATGGCCAAGGCTATTATGGATTTCAGATTGGTAAGTTTATTTGCTTTTCTATAAATTTTTGTGTGCCTGTGTTTTATGAAAGTGCCTAATCCCATGTGCTTAATGCTGTATTTTTAAAACAGTGCTATACAAACCTTAATGTGCATATGAATTACTTGGGGATTTTGTTACAAAAGCCAATTCTGATTCAGTAGTTCAAGGGTGAGGCCCAAGATTGTACATTCTCATACCAGCTCCCAGGTGATGTCCAAATGCCAATCTGTGGCCCGTGTTCTGCTAGAAGCAGAGGCTCGGAATCAGGCATGGTTTTAATGATATATTTCTGAAGTATTTGATATCATAGTTTCAATTCAGTAGGAAAGCATGAGATGTAATTTGCCAGTAGAGAGCTAGAATGAAAATAATCCAAGGAAATCAGTACTCACAGAGGTTTGAATATTTCTAGACTTTCCTCCATTTCCTCTTCTCACATTTTATAAGCTACTTTGTATGTGGAAGACATTTTCATTTGATGTCAGATTCACAAGCTTACAATTTCACTGTAACTGAAGAATGGGCTGTTCACCAGTTATTTTAGAATTTTCATTTTATTTTCTTTTAATGATAATCAGTTTGTTTTTTTTAACTCTTTCCTCTAAACATCGCTTGATATTGAGCCCTTATGGAGACTATATGTCCATCATTGAAAAATTATTTTATAGGATCATTGTTTAAATAGAATACTTAAGTATTCTTAAAATTTCATAATATCAGGGCCCCAGATTGAATTTAAATGGGGATTCTTTTCATATAATGAGGGAAATAGTCCTTAATACGGACGGTTTTCCTCTGAGGATTATTTGACCTATTTAAATGACCTCTTGACATGTCAGTTATAGAACTGAGACAATTCTAGAAGCTGTGACTTAAAATATATTGCATATTTGCCCTAACTGGTTTGGCTCAGTTGATAGAGCATCAGCCTGCAGACTCAAAGGTCCCAGGTTTCGATTCCGGTCAAGGGCATGTACCTTGGTTGCGGGCATATCCCCACTGGGGAGTGTGCAGGAGGCAGCTGATCGATGTTTCTCTCTCATCGATGTTTCTAATTCTCTATCCTTTCCCTTCCTCTCTGTAAAAAATCAATAAAATATATTTTAAAATAATATTTTGCATATTCCCTTTCAGGTGGACCTTCCCCTTGGCTTACCCTTTTATAAGTGGATGCTACGGCAAGAAACGTCACTGACGTCACACGATTTGTTTGACATTGACCCAGTGGTAGCCAGATCAGTGTATCACCTAGAAGACGTTGTCAGACAGAAGAAAAGACTTGAACAAGATAAATCCCAGGTAGGCTTACAAGATGAGGAAACCTCCAAATGGATCAGTTTCTTATTGTAGAAAGATGAGGTCTTTGTTAAGTGGTTTGTATTTGACACAGTTATGTTATTTTAGAAAACTTTAATTTTTTATCACAACTGAAACGTGATTTTATAATGAGTAAGATGGCCTATAATAACAGCAGTTGGTGAGTAAAAGGTTTGATTAGCAAATAAAATACACTCCTAACTGAAATCAAAGACTCCTGCTTGTTAAATTTTATATGGGTGTTATGTATCTGGGCAGATACTATGTCAGGCTGAATTATTTTAGTAAGCATTTGAATCAATAAAACTGTTCTTAGGACAGATTGATTTTTTTTTTTTTTGTCCTGAAATGTGGCTGAATTTAGGAACAGTCCATTTGTTTCTAGAGAGATTTCAGGATGATATCTTTAAAAATCATAGTGGCTGTGTACTATATTTTGGTAACACATGTTGATGTGTCTTTTAGATTTCATGGGTAATCTTGCATTTTTTATCATTAATTGATATTTTTTACTAAAAAGTCATTTCACTCAGTCTGAGATTAGTAGTGGTATCTGATATTAGAAGAAGGCAAAGTTGTATTTTTTAAAAAAGGCACAGACTCAGATAGCTTACATTGGGCAGGTAACATGGACCAAAGTTAAATCAACTCCCTCCCATTAAGAATAGAGAAGAGATTCTATAGAGTGAAAGTGTCATATCTATATTAATAAAAGGGTAATATGCTAATAAGACCTGGTTGATCGGCCATTTTCCAGCACCAACTTCTTTCCAGACAAAACCATGGTGGTGGGGGACTGAGGCAGAGGCCGTTAGGGGTGATCAAGCCAGCAGGGGAGGGTAGTTGGGGGCGAGATCAGGCTGTCAGGGGAAGGCAGTTGGGGGCAAACGGGCCGGCAGGTAAGCAGTTAGGCATTGATCAGGCTGTGGCAGAGGAATGGTTAGGGCATTGGTTCTCAACCTGTGGGTCGCAACCCCTTTGGCAGTCAAACAACCCTTTCACAGGGGTCGCCTAAGACCATCCTGCATATCAGATATTTACATTACGATTCAT